AGAAGCCGGCGAATTAGCGACGAGATGACGAAAAATTCTGATTACGCCATGAAATGCCGTCGAATTCTGTAAGAAAATGGTTACAAAGATAAGCCCTCCCAAATCCTTAAAAACCTGCTTTTTTACTAGAAAGGCTAATATGCCTCACTAATTACAAACATAAATCATTTATTTACAAAACGCAACACCGATTACGGGAGCAAATTCTATAAAATCCATCCGGACATTTTGAAAATTTCGTCGTTTCCACCATACGCTCTAGACATCCGGCCGCGGCTTCAATCCATCTATCTATTCAATAGCTTTACACCCCGGTTCCCTAAACCCCCTTCCTTCTCTCCCTTTCCTTTTCTCTTGTCGGGCTAAAGGTCGTTCGGAGTTGTGCAAGACTTGAGGGTCTCCTTGTAGACCCACGGGTAGAGGGAAGCTGTAATAAATGCAGTCCCCCCCGGTACCGCTTTAAAAGTGGCTGGTGGGGGGATTTTTGGAAATGCCGAAAGTTCGGTTCTTTTCCGGTCACCCGCCACGGATAAAGCCACTGATAAAGCCACGGCAAAGCCGGGGCAACCGATGAAAATACCTGACAGCCAAAATCCCGAAAAATCCGAAAAAATCATGATAAGCGATAATATCGGATCGTAAAAATCTCGACATGTAAAAATTTTCCGGAGCGATCAATATGACACAAGACCAAAATCCCGACAGGCAAAAATCCACTGATCAAAACCCCCGACGCTGGTAAAATACCGAACCCGAAAATCCCGATAGAATCCCGAGATGCCAAACATATGCATGCCAAAATATCGACAACTTGCTTGCCAGCATCAAAATCCTCAGGTGCCGGCAGGCTACATCGTGAAAATATCGACATACAAAATCCTTGTAATCAAGACCGAAATCCCGATAGACCGACAGGAAATACCACCGGCCAAAACTATCGGCTTCGAGCTTAAAAACAGGTTTTTGTCGTGTCCAGATTATGCTTCGTGCGGTCGGTCTGAAAAAGCGCTTTCGAGCCGGAAATTCTTCGAAAATTGGAATGCATAGAATAACTGCAAAGAATTTGAATCCCGTTGGTGAATAGTTTACCAAAGCTGAAAAATCCAACTATGGCCCCCATTTTATACTTGTTCAATCTTTCCGACGAACTTCCACATAGCATGACCGTGTTTATGATCATCCTCAATGGTAGGGAAAAGTTTTGGAGCCCCCCCCCCAGTTAACAGCCCAGTACCGCTTCACCCTTGCAGTTCTCACCCCGTCGGTGGCCCTGCTGCTCGCCATCGGCTGCAACAAGAAGGAGCGCATGCTGTATGAGCAGCAGAAGCAGAAGGAGTTTGCCGATGAGCAAGGTGGCAGCTAAGCAAAGGCTCTAAGATCAAAGTTTACTCGTTTAATTTGGTGCTTTCGCATTATCGGGGGGGGGGGGCTAATTTATCGTAAAAGTAGCTAGATTTCAAGTGGAAAAACTATTTAAAAACCTATAAAAAATTTAAATCTCGAATTTCGGCCCAAATATCCATTGGTTTTAAAAATCTCTTTTTTAGTATTTTGTGACCCAAATTTGTAAATTTTTCGCGATTAACCATAGAAAAATCAGTGTAAAAACGCTTTCACTATTTATACTCAAAAATCTGTAGCCAAAGACCCTCTAATTTTACAAAAAAAAACCAAATTATCTAGAGCGCCGCAAAAAGGTGCCGCCCCGCGTCCGCGCCCGCCAGCAGATCAAGGGCGAGCTGAGCAGCCGCAGCAAGAAGGCGAAGAAGAAGGGCGGCCAGTCCGACCGCAGCTCGAAGCGCAACGTGCTCGTCTCCCCGCTCACCAAGCCGCGTCTCGACGGCGCCTCGAGCGGGTCGCGCCGATCGCGGCTTCACGACTTGATGCGCGAGCACAAGATTTCGCCGTTGGTCATCTACCAAATACCGAAAATCCCGTTTAGCAACGCTCGCCCATCGGATGTGTCTTCGGAAAAGCTGGCGAAAGCTAGGTAAAGGCTGTGGTACTAGGCTGTTAGCGGGGGGGCTTGGTTATCGCCTTTAGTTCCTAGTAAATGAAATATACACGCAATTTATAGCTCTTTAAAGCATTTATAAGCAGAAAAGTTTAAAAATTCTTAACATTTGAAAAATTTGCGATTTATTGCCAAAATCTGTGAATTTTAGAATGTTTTCAAAGTGTTTTAGGGCTTTTTAGTAACAAAAAACACTATAAAAAAACTAAGGATAATAGCAGATCCCTGCTTACCCCCCGCTAACAGCACAGTACCAAAAATCACTTGAAAATTTGTTGCACTACGTTTTAGAGCCGAAAAGAAGGAGAAATCGGAGAGTGCCCGCCGGAAGAAGCCTGAAGCCGCCGCTAAAGTGGGATTTACGAGCAATCCCAAAAAATTCTGCTTCTAAAACTTTCTAGAAAAATTTTCTTAAACTTCACACAATACAAACCCGAATTCTTCCATTTCCGGCCTCGATCGACGCCTCGGGCAGCGGCCGCGATTCGGAGCGCAAGAAGAAGGAGGAAGCCGGAAGACAAGGACAACTCGAAGAAGGGACAAGAGCGGCAGCTCCAAGAAGCATCACCACTGCCCGCGTACCGGCCGCAGATGTCGGATGCTAGGAATAAAATTTAAAAAATGGTTTTTAGACGTCGAATCGCAGCCAGAAGACGAAGGCGGAGAACAAGTGGGATTTTCGCTGAAACGTGTAAACCTTTGAATCCTCTACAGAGCCGACAACAGCAACAAGTCGAGCTCCGGGCGCGGCGACAAGGGTTCTACCAAGGATGGCGTCAGTTTTTATGGTGCTTTTGCTTTATCGTGCAGGGGCTCTTCCGCACTCCGATTTCTAACAAAAAGTGAAAGCGTAAGCTAGTTTTTACTATTCCAAAACGTAAAAACTATATAAATTTTCACTAATAAATTCAAAAATAAGGAATGTTCGACTAAAAACGATCGATTTTCGATCAAAATTTCCACAAAAAAGTTTTTATAAGTCTTCGTTTTTGTCTAGTATTGCATTTAAAATCGTGTTAAATTTTGTTAAACACGCCATTTCAACGAACTTCGACGCAAAATTTCCTATTTTCGACCAAAACTGAGCTTTCTAGCGGTTTTTTTTAATTTTAGAGGCTGCTAGAAACTTTTGGCCCAAAAGACCTCCCCCCGCCCCGATAATGCTAAAGAACCGTTTTCGTGAAAAAAATGACAAATCACTTTCAGTACTGCAAAACGGCAAGGACCGGAAGCCGCGATAAGGCGGTAGACGGTTCGGGCAAGGGCTCAAAGCAAGGCGGCCTTCGCGCGAGAAGTTGCCGACGGATCAAGCTGTGACTCGGAAACGCGGATCCCAGGAAAAGGCCGATGGGTCCACGAAGATGGCCAGGTGAAAAACATCTACACTCAATAAAAACAATCCTGCCAGGTCCCAGCCGGCTGCCGCAAAGAAGGTCGGCTCGAAGGAGGGCGTGAAGCCGAAGGGCCAAGCCGATTCCTCGAATTCGTCAAAAAGAAATGTAGGTCCGGCTATTTTCCAAAAGCACAGCTCATGCTCAGAAAATCGGATCCGGCCGCGACTCGTCGAGGCACCGCATTGGGCGCTGAACGCTAAAGACTTTGCCTGAATAAATTTTTGCTGTTTGCTTGTAAAAACACACTTTTGTCGATTATTAAATTTCTAACCTCGCTGCTGCTATTTTTTCTATCGATTTTCACTGGAATTCAAGCGGCCTACATTTCCAGCCGGAAATCACACAAATTTCCAGCTGGACAAAACGGCGAAACCGGGTGATGGTTCTGGCAAGAGCTCGAAGCGCGGCTCCAGCGAAACAGCGGCCGAAATCTCTCGGCGGGATTCGAAGCGCGGATCCAGTGAGAAAACTTCGAGCTCAAAGAAGGTTGCAAAGCCGGGCGCAAGTGAAAAAGCCAGTGGCTCATCGAAGAAAGCAAATTCGGGTTCGAGTGAAAAAGCTGGTGGCTCGTCTAAGCAAGCAAAGCCCGGATCAAGCGAAAAAGGCAGCGGATCCACGAAGAAAGCCAAGCCGGGCTCAAGCGAAAAAGCTGCTGGTTCGGCGAAGAAACCAAGGTAACAAATATACATCTGACTTCATATTAATACAAAAAAAAACTTTACACGCCTGCCAGATGAACAGAGCCGAGATCTTCAAGATGAAGTGCCGGCTGGGAATCTGGAGTCTTACCAAAACTTCAAATAAATATTACTACCTCAATTTTTAGTCCCAAAGTCGAAAGCCTAAAGAAGTCGGGCTCGAAGAATCAATGCGGAACAACAAGCTCGCTGCTGCGGCCGACGCGCGGGATCCCTCGAAGAAAGAATGTGGGTTAACTGAAGCCCCGAAAACTAACGAAAACTTGTATTTATCAGTATTACTAGCTAGTTTAATAGTAGTTTTAGTAAAATTTAGCTATATTTCAAGTGAAAAACTATTTGGAAAACTTAAAAAATGTCCCTATTTGAAATTTTGGTCTAAAATCGAACCGTTTTGGCCAAATAGTCGATATTTTTGCTCTTTTTCATAGATTACGTTTCTGTTTGTAAAATCATACTTTTAAAACTATGAAAGACCAGAAAACTTTAGAAAATCGCATCCGGTCGCGACTCGTCGAGGCGCCGTATCGGTCGCTGACTTCGACTTATGAAATGCCTGCTTACTCCTTCTCCCTTCGAATAAATTGTTGCATCTTCGCTTGTTCTGCGAAAAAACCCACACTCTTGCCTATTTCCATCACAATTTGAATAAAGGAAGAAAATACCGGAGGGATTTGGATTTACATGAATATTCACCCCCAAAAAGGCTCGAAAAAACCTTAAAAAATATCACTCGACACTCGCCCGCAAGGCCAGGCCAGTCGGCGTTCAGCGTGCATCTGCCCCTCGGCACCCCCACCGTCGACCAGTTCTCGGGATCCCGCCCCATCCGACCAAGTGCCAGGCGACGTACATCTGGATCGACGGCACCGGCGAGAATCTGCGCAACAAGACGCGCACGCTCAACACGAGGCCCGTCAAGGTGGAGGACTACCCGATCTGGAACTACGACGGCAGCTCGTGCGGCCAGGCCCAGGGCCGTGACTCGGATCGCTACCTGAAGGTCGGGGTTTTCAACTTAATAAATTCCTGCTCCATGTATGTAACCTACCGAAACTTGCTACAAAA